TACATGGGTAGATAACAACAGAAATTGTCTACACTGTTACTGGAAAAGCAAATTACAAAATGTAAGTTTTAGCACAGCAACATTTGTCAGGGTTCAACTCATGGTTTCTCTTTATCATACTAGCCATAGTAGCAGCCAGAAGTCATAGTAGGAACTCTTAATTAAATCTTAATTATTGAACTTCTCTATTTTGCTTGCTTCCTTTCACCAGTCAGAACTATAAATACATGAGTGAGTCATAAGCTAAATATAAATAATAGTATCAACAACAACAATAATAATACCTACTTTTTWAAAAAATATTTTTAGTTGTCAATGGACCTTTATTTTTTATTTATTTATATGCAGTCCTGAGAATCGAACCCAATGCCTCAAACATGCTAGGCAAGTGCTCTACCACTGAGCCACAACCCCAGCCCTAATACCTACTTCTTTAAGACATGCTCTTTCAAGTTCTATGCTACATGCATGATCTGTCTTTACTCATGTAATCTTCAAATTGAATCAATTATGTACATAAGTTGGGGCTTAAGGACACTGCTGGGGAGGGCAGGGACATGATCCAAACTCTTTAAGGAAGATACTGTGTATCTCTGACATTATTTCATGTGTTCCTAAAATGATGGTAGTTTGTGTTTTTCCCGTACATGAACAAGTAGGACCTGAGGTTAAGAAGGGCTACAGGAACCATCATCCGAGGGCTATCTGGTWTATGGTGTCTGTTTTTCTGCAAAGTAGAAAATTGTGTTAATTTTCTGGGAATGCTGTAACAAAGTACCACAGACCTACTGTTTTAAACAATAGGAATTAACTTTTTCACATTTCTGGAGGCTGGAATCCCAAGGTCAAGGTCTTTGCAGGGTTGATTCTTCTGAGGTTCATGAGGGAAGGCTCTGTCCCAGGCCTTTCTCTTTGACTTGTAGAGCTCTATCTTCTCCCCATACCTTTACATGACCTTTCCTCTATACATGTCTGTCCAAAGTCCCTCTTTTTAAAAGGACACTGATCATATTGGCCCACCTCACTGACCTCCTCTTACTTTTTCAAGATTAGATTGCAGTACACAATCACATTCTGGGGTCCTGAGGGTTAAAACTTCAACATACAAATTGTGGCAGAGGACACAATTCAGCCCATAATAATGATGAGGCAGCTATAACTCGATTTAGAGAATTTCTATTATTCTAAAATAAGGCAGCACTTTGGAGAAGTCAAAAGTGACAAATGAGTTACGAATTACTTATGGTGCATTTTAGAGGAGTTGGGGATTACTATGTGAGTTGAAGATATAAAGTCATTATGACGTAAAAGGCAATATCTAGTATTGGTCCTCAGTTGCAACCAAGTAGTCTTGGGGGATTTGCCTGGTAGTCTCTGGAAGTGTTTCTCCTTGGCATCCTGGGACCCATAGATATTGGAATGCCTCGTTCAGAGGTCTGTGATCCTTCTTCCCATGTGCAGCAACTGCCTGATTCCTCCTGGCCTCCCCTGACCACAGCAACATTACTTGGTATGCCGAATGGCAAATGCTTGGGCTTTCTTCTATGAATATAAACTCCAGAATCCTTGATTCAGAAGCAGAAATCCCTGGAGACAGCTGACTCTTTAGTCCCCACCTATGCTAGGGATCTCTCTGTAGCATAAGTCAATGTAAGGCACTTGTAGTTACTACAGGAACAGACATGGTAAAGAAACGTATCCTGCTTGGCCCTAAGTAATCACRGATTCTTATGTGGCTGGAACAAACMGCTTTCCAAGCTCCCTCCCAGAGAGAGGAATCCAATGAATGTGGGGCATTATTCGCCTTTTTATGGAACGATAAAGCAAACAATCTTCAATGCATCTTATTGCACATCTTCATTCCAACAACTTTTCATCTCCTAGTCAGTGCCTTCTGGTTTTTTGCTGCTCGGCAGTGGTCCAATATGTGCCAAATCCTTCTATTCCTCTGCCCAACAAGAGCACACTGCTTCAGACTCGAAAGATCTTCTAGGCTCATCCAACATTTGTAATTAAATGCCCACGATATCTCTAGCTCTTCTGCAACATCTCAAATGACAGAAAACCACTTGCTTGGGAAACAAATCACTTCACCTTTGAAAGATTTCTAATTTGATATACCTGAGTCTTTTATTCCTTAGGTTAGGCAATATCTAACCCTAGTCCTAACAGCTACTGGTAGATCAACACCAAAGTATGCAGAGTTTCCTCCTCACCTTTCAAAGCTCAGATCAAATGCTACCTTCTTTGAGAAACCTTCCTTGATGCTTCTCAAAAACCAGGTAACAAACAGCTTCTTTCTTGACACTGTCATATCTTGGAGGTTACTTTGTGATAGAACTTGCCACRGCATATCTTAATAATTTTTGATTTATATCTTTTTTCTCTTGCTGTATTGTGAACCCGCCTTTGACTAGGGCCTCTGTCTTAACCCTTACTGCATCTTCCATTCCTGGCTCAGAATAGGGGATTCATGTTTATTGATTACTTTGCTGATTAAAGAAAACAAAGTTAGAATTCCAGGTGCTATGGCTGGTGTGAAAAGGAAATATCTATGTTCAGGGAGTTTTTTGATGTTTCTCAGATCAAGTCCACTGGGGGAAATCCTGGATGATGTATATTTAAAGTATCCAGGCCAGGCTGAGAGATTGGCGGGGAGGATAGATTGCAGCCTAGAGTACCTCTGTGACTTACTGGATGCTTCTGGATGTTCCAGTGCAAATTGTGGCTTGTAGCCCTGTAATGTCAAATTTTACCTGGTTCCCCCAAACCTCCACCCCAACTAATGAAGCTTGGCATTCACTGTCTTTTTGTCCTCTCATGAGAGTCAATCAACTGTCAGGTTTTTCTCACTACTTTTCTAAGATGAAGGTTACAGGCCACTGTCACCAAGGAATGACTCCTTTCTAGAAAGAACCAATTGAACCAAACAAAAATGCATCTCCTCTCTCCTAAGGAATCTATTTTTTTGAAAGAAATTTTTGTTCACTTTCTGTATCATTGTCTTTATTATTGATATTATATGAACCTAGTCCAGGTATCTCTCAAACCATGAATGTACTGGGGCAGGTCTCACACCTTCTTAAGATAATACTTTCTACCCAGCCAATAAGTAGGGCAAAATAATTTGAACCTGGTACTTTATCTTTGAGGCAAGCTTATTAAGATTCTCTTGTAATTGGAATCTGTTCTTCAAGCTTTGGGAAGGGTTCATTTTCTCCACYCTCTTCTCTGGGGGAGCTGCTCTCTACCTGCCTGTCCCATAACCTGACACAAATGGCACTATTAAAGATTTTTCAAGGATAAAATGAAAAACCTTCAGATTTCGTTTTCAACCTGATCTGTGATCAGTCCTTATCAGCAACTGCCTTTTTATTTTAGCATTTTTTACTCAGCTCAGTTTGAAAAGGGGTTGTTTACAACACCTCAAGATCTCCCAACAACCTGGCCATTGAGATGCTCCTCTGAATTGGATTGTTCCACTCCTTGGAAGATTGGATTTGACAGTTGCTGTAGTCATCTAGCATGTTCGTTGCAGGACTGCCTCATGTGGTATTTGTCATTTAGTGTAGCCTAAAAGCAAATTCTCAGGAATTAGTAAATATAGTAAGAGGGTTTTCCATCTTATGTGGGGATGAGAAGCATATTGGGAGGGCCAGGGTGGGTAGGTATTAAAGACCTTTGTGCCAGTTCTTTAGACCAGATACAGATTGCTGCCTCAATCTCTATATTCTAGACATGTTAATGAGAAAGAATCAGAGATTTCCAATAGAGAGACACTAAAATATGAATAAAGATTATCCTTTGATGCTTGAAATAGATAATTTTAAAGGCAAAATCATTTTACATTTAAAAAATTTGTATCTTGGGTGGATAATATGACTCAGGAAGATAATTTCATTGAAAGGACAGTGTCTTAATTCTATGTGGTCTGTGTCATAGAAACCAATGATGATTTCCATACCGAGATGYTGAATTTGCTATCAGAGTAGAATCATGGGCAAGGACTGGGCCCCAAGGTGCGGGGCTTATTTCTCATGCTGCAAGCCTATTCCACTGCCTGATTTTCCTGTGATTCTTAACGTTGTCAAGGAGGCTCTGGCAACCCACTGGAGGGGCAGCCTCTGTAGGAATATTCCCCCTTTCCTTCTGCAAASTAGGGAAGAGAGGGTGAATGGAGCCCTGAGAATCTGAAACAAGTTCATTACAATGCACCTTAGCTTGAGGCATTCATCCAAGGGATGCTGCACCGGGAAAAAGAGGTGGGGGTGGGGGTGGGGACCATCATTGGACAGTGAGTGCAAATACAGTTGTCAAGGCATGGAGCGAGGGTGTTGTTTAGTATTGAAATCATGTATTCCAGATGTGGGCATTTGGTAGTCAATCTGCTCTGAAGTGACATGCTGCTGAATCTTTAAAGGGCTTCAGCCGGAGAGAGCAAAATCTGATTGGGCAAATTGCTAAAATATTTAAAGTGCAGCCTGTTAAAGCTTTTACTGCGAAGAGCATCACGTCAGAAGTTGTAGTCAGAAAGAGCAAGTAATTGGCTTTCCATCTTCATGCCAGTCAGTCAGCATGAGGCTCTATTCCTATTCCTTCCTCTTCATTGCCGATGCTAATAGCAACCCTTTGGGGTACAGGTGGGGGTGCACATGGTGGGGAAATTTATAGCTGGTAAAAAGARAGAATGAGGGGTGCAGTGGCCCTAGAAAGGGTAGCCAAATCCACAAAATGGCCTGAAATTTATTTAAGAGTCGAGGTGCAGGAGAAAGACGGAATTATTACCTGACAAATTATCACCTGACTGCACTTTGAAATGGGTGGTGGTGATTTGAGGCAGTTGTCTTTCAAGGGACAGGTTCTGCCCGCAAGAGGATGGCTGTCAGTGACAACCACTTCCTCCACATCTTTTATCTCCTCTGAGATGTAACTCAGGGGACACTCTCCATTTATAATTTATCACCCTTTCCACTTAGGTTTTCCTGTCCTTTTCTCCCCAGGCATGACCCCTTGTTAATTCCTGGCAATGATCAGATTGACAACATGGACTCCAACGTGAAGAAGTACGACTCTACAGGGATGTTTCACTGGTGYGCACCCAAGGAGATTGAGAAAGTCATCCTGGTGAGTGAGGGACTGTGAAACCCAGGTCATCACATCTGCTTGGTACTCTACTTAATAGGGAATGAGCTCCTTCTAACCAGATAATAGAATGACACAGTCGCTGGTCTTAATGAGTTTSGATGAGTCCAGTTCCAAGCAGAGAGTGAAGCAGCTAGACCACTAATCAGAACACAAGCAAGAGCAGTACTCTTCAGTCTCTGAATATTTATTAGCTCATTATAATAGTGGTGATCATGTGCTGAGGGCAAGGTATCATTGGAGGCAAGATGTGCATCATTTCTGAGATCAGAGGCTGCCTGTGCCATCTAGTAGCTACCTGGCTCAGGGCAAGTCACATGGCTCTCTGCACTTCAGTTTTCTCATCTGTAAGAAGATGAGGTAAGAATGACCCTAACACAGGGGGTCATGAAGATGACATATGACTGTACAAAGTGACCTGTTGTTCTATCTGTTATTATTATTATCATTATTATTTTTAAATGCCATAATAGATCTGAATCTTGCCCGTGTGGTTATTGTTCACAACCATGTTTATACCCTTGAAGATAAAAGCTTTGCAATTGGTGTTCCTCCTTAGCACTTGATGCACATGGACAAGTGCATTTGCTGGTGACAGTGCAGAACCATGGTACACCTTGGGGAGGCTGGGCTCAGAGTCCTGCTTCATGGATGGCTCATGAGCACTTCCATAGCAAGAATGGGCTGCTTCTGTTCTGGCCCAGATTGTCAGCATAGATAGCCATCCATTCTACTCTTGGCATTTGCCCTATTAATAGCTTTAGGTTTAATGCCCACATTGGCTTTCCTAGAGTTGATTGTCTTGCTAATCCATGAAAAATGGATTAATAACAAGAAGGTCAGAAAGAGAGGTTCTTTCCTCCCAGTGCTGCTAATCCCTGGATTGCTATGGGACCCCTCCTTTGTCAGACAAAAAAAAAAAAAATCCTGTCATTTCTGAYGTCAGGGCCAACTTTTCTTCACAAGGACTATTCTAGGTCCTCAGAATGGCTGTGGGCTCTAATTCACTAGATTTTTCCTGTGTTTTGTCTAGTGTGTGTTTTCTCAACTTAATTATAAGCAAGCAGTAAGAGCCAATACAACTTCACACTAGARGCTGTCTTGGAGGTGCCAAATCATGAAAGTCAAAATTCTCAGTAAACAGCCATTGTGTAGGTCACCAGGAGAAAATGGCTSTAACCACAAAGCTGCTTATGCATTTACCGTCTGGTGTTGTCTCCACCACACTTTACCTTACTGGTCTAAAGTCAGCCTGGTGTTACCCACCTGTAGCAAATCCTAGGCTGGATGCTCAATCTGGAATCCAGGGTTTTAATAATTTGCCTAGATTTTTCTAAGCACTCTATGTTAACTGACATCTGATCAACTCAAGAAAAAGAGTTGAGGGAGATGAGTTTATTTGAAAAATAACACCACTTAGCAGAACATTTATAGCAAGCCTATTATGTATTAAGCACTTTCTTTTTCTGAAATTATAATATATAGAGCTTGTATTCTAGTGGGGCAAAGAGAAGACCACCAAATAGACAAACAAGTGCATATTATTTCAGATATTAATAAAGTGTTATGAAGACAATAAAGCAAGATCCTGGGCTGTAAATACTATTTAGACAGTATGATCAAAGGAGCCTTCTCTAAAGTAACCCTGAAGTAGATGAGAATAACAGAAGGGCCACCTATGTGAAGGTGCTTTGTGGTGGTATTTACTCAYTGGGTGTAGGACACAAATGACTTTGGAGATAAAATATATATGAGATGGTCACAATCTTGAGGAAATGATCATCTCATTAGAGAGAAAATCATATAATCAGAACAACTTATTTAACCTGAGTGAAATCAGGCACAAAACGCCATTCAAAACTATAAGAGAAACACCCATATGTGTTTAAGTGGCCAGGAAGGCCATGATTGGGCTTGGAAGGAGTTTAAGGCTATGGAGGCTTTGCGTTGGGCACTGAAGAATTCAGGAAGAAAACAGGATGCACAGAGAACCATATGAGTAGTTCCTCTAGTGGGGCTTAAGCTTGGCAGCATCAGATTCTCCAGGGCTGAGGTCCAGGGATGTGGATTTTTAGTAATTTTTCAGTTGATGTTGCTACAGCACATTTGAAAATCATTATTTTGATCCCAGATCTAAGCTCCTTGGGTCAGCATCTGTGCCTGGATCATTCTGCATGCTGACACCTAGCTTACCTCCATATTCTATATTTCTAGCTTCTATCCAGGACCCAGTTTGTAATCCTTTGGCTTGTTGAGGGCAGCTAGCTTCCCAGATGAGCTGGACAATTAAAAGTAATTAGGAATCCCATCATAGCCTTTCACAGACTGGTGGACTCTCTTCCTGCAGTACCCAAGCACTGTACTTCCATGCAGCCCAATAACCAGCTCCAGGTCTTCTCCTGAAGCAGTGGTAGGGAATGTGAGCTCCCCAGGGGAGGGGGTTCTCTTTGTTCACAGTTTATTAGGCATTTCTTACAGTTTGTGCTCAGGTTTCTYTGTCCTGTTGCAGAGGGAAACCAATAATGGTGACAGCCCCTACTTTATTCTAACGATCAGAGAATGAAAGCTAGCTTCCTCCTTTCCTTAGGGGTTACTATAATAACCCTGACATTGTTGTGAATTGCAATATTGGCATTTAAACAATCAATACACTGGTCAATGCTAGGGATTAAATCAAGCAGAGTTTGATATGTGCTGTGGACATTAATATGCCTCCCCCAAGGTATTGTAAGCCACATGGGGCCATCCAGGCATGCAGTGGGTGGACAGGGAGGAAGGCAGGAAAGATGGGAGTCCTTGGAYTGGGAGAGGCAGAGAAGGGCTCACAACTGGCCTCCTTGTATTATCCTCTTTGCTAGCTTGGTGAGTAAAAAGGTCAGCAGTGGCTACTCATTTACATTTTCTAGGAAACTGAGGTTCTCTGCAGGTGGTGTTCTTTCATTGGTTTCCTTTGTTGGTACAGAGGTAGAGTTGGAATAAGACCTGTCCTCTTGCAYTTACTAATATCTTTAGACAACWCCTTCCTTCCTTTATTTATTTATTTTTGCTGTAGTGCTGGGAATAGAACTCAGAACCCTGAGCATGCTAGACAAGTGCTCTAGCACTGAGTTACAGCCCCAGTCCCTCTTTAGATTCTTTTATTAATTCCTTGGGGGTCCTTTTTTGTATAAGGTAACTTCTCCAGGAACCCCCCTGGGAGCCCCAAGACAGCACACTTTTTCTATAAAAGGTCATATAATGAATGATTTAGGTCTCACAGGCCATAGGATCTGACACAACTGATCAGGTCAACTGCTGTACCATGAAAGTAACTGGACAATACCTACATGTGTAAGCTTTGCTGTGTTCCAATAAAACTTTATTCAAATTCAGATTTCATATTATCTTCACATGTGATGACATATTCTTGTTTTGATTTTGGTTCTCATCCATTTTGGAATACAAAAATCACCTTTAGCTCACTGGACATACAGTAGCATGTGGTATACCAGACTGAGGCTGCCGGCCAGAGTTGTCAGCCCCCTGGCTTTAGCTATCACATTCTACCTAGTTGTTATGACCATATAAGACACCTCACTGATAAATCTAGAACTCAAAACTCAAATTTCTCTGCCTGACACTGACAAAAATATCTTTTTTTGCCATCATCTGAGCAATAGAACCTGAAAATGCATCTAATTATATAAAAAATTCCAAGGAACCTAAGACTTGTCTTTCCAAATAATAAATAGTTCTTTTCCTTCTTAATGTTCTCCCTGAAGATCATTATGAAATATCTCCTGCTCACATTTATGTATGGCATATCTTAGATCTTTTCTTCAAGAGGATAGTGATATGTGTGGGTATATGTTTACATGTATTTATTATATAAATACATTATGTACACAATATGCAAATTATATATATGTATATATGACATGTATGTGACTTTGATGAAGTAAAACCAATGGCTGTATTAGTCAGTTTGACATTACTACAAGGAAATACCTGAGACAGCTAGTTTATAAAGAGAAAATGTTCATTTAGCTCACAGTTTTGGAGATTCAGTGTCAAGATTGGGTGGCCCCATCCATTTGGTCTCTAGTGAGGGTGGGTGGTGTGTGGTGGTGCCTCATGGTGAAAGTGTAAGTCAATGACTACATCTGGAACATGAGCAGAGTAAAAGAGTCTGGATGTTGCTAGGCTTGCTGCTTTCACACTGATTTCATGGGAARTCAAGGGCCCTATGAGAGCTCCCAATGGGATCATACCTGAGCTACCTCACACCTGAGAACTACTTGCTGGGCTCTAACTTCCAAAGTTCCCCCACACAACAGCACTACCTAGAACCAAGCCTTTCATCACAGTGGGCCCTTGGAACCACACCCAAACCAAGCAATACCACATAGTAAGCACACAGCCAATGTTCACTTTGCATGAATGATTTTTTTTTCTCTCCTTGCAACAAAACTCTGAAGTCTTCTCTCCAACACTTTTGCAGACTCGAAGTGAAGCCGCCATGACTGTCCTGAGTGGCCATGTTGTGGTCTGCATCTTTGGTGATGTCAGCTCAGCCCTGATTGGCCTCCGGAACCTGGTGATGCCACTCCGTGCCAGCAACTTTCATTACCATGAGCTCAAGCACATTGTGTTTGTGGGCTCCATAGAGTACCTCAAGCGGGAATGGGAAACTCTTCATAACTTCCCCAAAGTGTCCATATTGCCTGTAAGTCCAAGGTCGCATTATTGATGATTTTTTTCCCTTCTTCTTTTTATTCACAAAAGAAAATCCCAGATGGATATGATCGTTGTAGCTTTGATTCTGCCTCTGCTTCTTCATCTGGGTATGGGCCCGAGGATGCAGCCCTTCCCCTATGCCCTGCCTAGGAAAAGCCAAACCCTGGGAGACCTTATTAAAAGGAATATGCAGCCAAGTTCAGTCCCTCATCAGGGATGAAGTTTAGCTGGTGTCATGTGTGTTAACCGTATAGGTGTCTAAACACTCTGTTGCTCTTGTCTACTATACACAACTCAGAGCGCTGAGACATGGTGATTTACAGTAGAATTTAGAATTATTTATAATTATTTATGTCATTTCACTTATGACATTTTGGCCTTTCACTTAATGCTTAGAGAAACCTTGATCATACCTCCTTCTGTTTCAGACTACATAACTGAGTTCTTTATTTCTACTCTACAGAAGTTCAACCCCTTTCCTGGGCTGCCCCTATCCACCATATCTTCAGAAGCTCAGCAGTGTTTTTCATGGCCATGTGTGTATGTATGTGTGCACATGTATGCATGATACAGTCTTTGTTTTTTGTTTTTGTTTTCTGATGATTGAACCCATGGTGCTACATCCCCAATCCTTTTTATTTGTTTTTGTATTATGAGACAAGATCTTACTAAGTTGCTGAGGCTGCCTGGAACTTGTAGTTCCTCCTGACTCAGCCTCCTGAGTTGCTGGAATTATAGACCTGCACCACTAGGCCTGGCTGCATTTGATATTCTTGACTGCAGAATACTAGGACCATAATCTACAAGAAATGACTTAGTGTGAGGATCTGGGATATGTGATTTAGGAGTCACATAACTACTTCCTAAGCTAATCAATATATTTTCTACAAACTTTCAAAAAATTATGAAGTAGTCTGCTTTCCAGTATTTGAAATTGTTGTCACATCACAAATTCATGAAAATATTATTTATCCTCCAAATRTTTTTCTTCTGTTTATATCTCTAAACCTGTGAAACATGGATTTCTCTACATGTCAAGAGGTTTATATTTTCCTCTACTTTTGAAGCTGAAGTCCATTATTTCTGAGATTCCATAATCTCGGAAATGTGGGAGAAAGGATCCAGTGATATATTTCATTAAAGAATACATGAGAAGTATGTATTCTTACATAGTATATATATATATATAAAGTGTCCCTTAGAAGCCATTATTCATTTTACAAAATATCTGGCACAGTAGGTTTTCAGTAAACATATATTAGATGCAGAGCCCCAAATTGATGGCCTTAGTGAACTTACATAGTTAAGGATAGTCCACTATAAACAAACAAAAAGTCACAGGCTTAGAGGAACATAACCATATACTTTATATACTTGGCTAATTTCAGAAATGTTAGATATGATATTTCTATGATTATCATCATACACATTCTGTTCCACAGGGTCTCTTGACCTCTAGGAGTATCTTTGTAAAAAGGTTATTATTTTACTGGGATGTGTGTGTGTGTGTGTGTGTGTGTGTGTGTGTGTGTGTGTATGTGTGATGTTTTATATTTGTGTGTGCATGTTTTAGGTATGTGTGTTTCCTTCTGTATGCTCCCTTGTACACATTTCCTCCCCTGTCTCTGGACACATGAATGAGCTCTCATATTTTCAGATCTTTTTCAAACCCTATAAAATTTAGTATACCAAGCAAAGTAGATTTGCACAAAATGGGCCTTGACCATAATGAGGACTTACATACATACACTGTTTAAACAGTASCTTGCATATAGGGCCAGCTTAGAGAAACACAGAAGTTTTCTGTGTATGTGATTTGTATTTCTTGTGGTTTGGAATCATGTGTCTACAACTGCCCAGGGATTGTCTTATATCACAATTACTGCTGGATTCCCTACAAGGTGAAAATTTTAAAAATATGTATGTAGGCAATTGAAGTTTATGCACTGGCAAAAGGACACAGGAAGTCGACAAGACTTATTTTCCACCAAGATATCATAGGAGAGGGCATTTTCCTTCTCTTAAAAGTTTCAGTTTCAGTGCCTGGAACCACTAACTTTCCAGCACCCAGGACACTAAATGCCTGTCCTCCCTGGTTCCACTTTGCAGTGATAATTGAGCGACTGAGAACAGAACCATGACCATCACTGAGCAGGATGGGTTCCAATCATCAGCCAGGTCCTATCTTCTCAAGGTCACTTCTCTAGGAAGGGGGACAAGAGAAAGACATCTGCAGATACATGCAGCAGGAGGCAAGCCCTTTCCCTATGCAGGCAGTGATTTGAGGGCAACTGGGGTCTCCGTGTTGGCAAGGCAGACTCTAGACTCAGTCTGGAAGACCAACGAGGCTGATAGCTGGATAGGAACACCAAAATGGTGCTCCATGGCTGCTGTGGAGCTCCGATATGGGCTGGCCCAGTGAGTTTTGCTGTGGCACCTCTGGAGGACACAGAGCATGTGGAGATCATGGCCCTCTCCTTTTTGTTTTGCCTTGGTTGCCCCCCAGTCCTCTCAATCCACCTTTACCTTCTAGATCTGTTCCTTCTCACCCCCGCCACTGTCTTATGTTATTCTGGGATCTTTTTTAAAAATATGTTTACTGGCTTATTTATTTTTAATTATACCAGTAATATACAAATATGTTCTTGTTATAAAATATTCAAACAACACAGACGTATATAAAGTCAAAGGCAAACTTTCCCTTTCACCACCCCCATCTTTTTTCCCTCCCCAGAGGTAATTACTAGTTATTAGTTTGTGTATATTTTTTCCTGAGTTTTCTCTTTGAATTTACATATATTTATAAATGTATTTATAAATATATAAATTTATTTGGAGGGTTTTTTTCTTACATAAATGAAGCTACACTTTTTGAATGCTTCTAGAACTTTTTCCCCCACTTCCTCCTCCATCTTTGAAATTTTTTTTTTCCAAAAAATGATCACTACCTGGAGAGCAAGCTCCCTCTCTTTACTTGCTACATACTCTTCCTTGGTAAACATGTCCAATACTATTTTTAACCTTTCCTGTTGTTAGATAATTAGGTGATTTCCTGGGTTTTTTTCCTTGCTAAAAAGAATAAAATTATATGACCTCAGGCTTCCTCTCTTCTATCTCCCCTTTGCAAGATGCACATTAATCCCACTCCCTCTGGTACATAGCAGAGCTTCAGTCGAGCAGAGCACCTCATCACACCCAACTCACTGAGATTTCCTTTTGGCTGCATTGAAAATTCTAGTTAGAACTGCTATCTTTAGCCTGAGACAGAAGTGACCTGCTATTAAATAAACAGGCATTTGACCCCCCCATATATCCCCCCCACCATTGCATTCTGAAAGCCAGAGGTTGCCACAGGACAGTTACTTAAATCAAGACAATTTCCAGACAGGAAGAAGATGTAGACCCAGGCATTATTCCTCTCGTGCATTTGTTAGTAATAGCTTGATTGAGTATTGAGAGGCAGGCTGAAATGCTGCCATCAGCACCGACTACCCTTTAGATTAGCACACAGCCCCTATTCCCAGAAATGTAGTTAGGCCAGCTTAATGTCAGGGCATAAAAAAGATACTTGTTAAATAATTTCCCAAAGCTCTGGCTCAATCTTTAATTTGTTTTTATTTTTTCCCTCCTTCCCTCTTCTCCCTTGGTCTCACTTTTGCTTCTCTCTCTTTTTCTTTCCTCTATGCCAAAGGGTACGCCATTAAGTCGGGCTGATTTAAGGGCTGTCAACATCAACCTCTGTGACATGTGCGTTATCCTGTCAGCCAATCAGAATAATATTGATGATACTTCGCTGCAGGACAAGGAATGCATCTTGGCGTCACTCAACATCAAATCTATGCAGTTTGATGACAGCATCGGGGTCTTGCAGGCTAATTCCCAAGGTAAGGACAGCCTGTAATACTTCTCTGCCGTGCCTACGGGGGACAGGGGCTGGCAAGAGGGATATCCTTCATTCAGTAATTCAAAGAGGCTCACATCTGCCTGCCTGGCAGTGAAACCTGTGGTCACAGTGATGGCTTTCAAAGGGGCAGCTGCTGCCTCTTCTTGCCATCCTGGGATGCAGGCAGGAGCTCTGATGTTCCCTGTGCACACTAGGTTGCCTTCCTAGATAATAAATGAGTCTTTCAATGGCCACACCTTCAGCCTTTCTAAACAGTGGCTTTCTGACCAGGGTCACTGGCCAAATGTCAAGCATTGAAAAGATGCCAGCTGCACATTCCCAGGGCTTCCTCCCAGTGTATACTTTTACCATTGAACTGAGATGGGTGTTGAGCATTGTCATTGTTAGGGCTGCATCTAAGACTCTGCAGACCAAGGAACAGTGATCTCTGGAGAGTGAGGACTGTACAGGCACTGAAAGTCATTTAGCAAGAGATGACACATGTCAGCCCATGCATTTTCCTGGAGGAGGCACAGCAGCCTTGAATGACATACATCTGCCTTCTGCTCTGCCCCCAATCTTCCCTGTCATTTGCTCTGGGATTCTGGGMAGGTGGTTACAAGTAAAGATGTCATCTAGGAGTCTCAGAGAGGCAGCACAGCCAAAACCCCATAACAAACGATCGTGATTCTCAGGATCTGGAAGGTTGGCATGAAAGCATTTTCTTCYGTGTGAGTCTTCTGTGCAGGCTTGCTGTAAACTATAGGATGGTTTTTATCTGTGCCTACTGGATGGGTGGTTTTGGCTGCCTGATGGGGAGCCTGAATCCTATTATTCTAAGATGGAAATTTAAAGGAACAACACTTATGAGAACTACAGCTCCTGGGCTAGGAGCCACCCTATAGATAGCTGGGTAGAGCTCCTCATGCAGGAGTTTGTGGAAACTCAGCTTGATCATGCATCCTAGACCTGTTGCTCCATTATATTTTGTCAACTGGTATCACTACCTCCATCTAACATCTGGTCACCATTGCAGCAAGACCAGTAAAAACCGTTCCTGGAAACCTATTCTCTGCAGATCTCCTTCCTTTTACTGATTCTATGAAAGCATCAGTGAAAGAAGGGCCCTGGAGTGAGATTTTGAAAGTGAAAGAGAAAGAGAGGACTTGGTTTTGCCAGACTTGAACAGACTTGGGGGATCAACACAATTCTCAGGGGAGCTTCCTGAGAACCAATAGCTTTGCAGCCAGAGGTTGAGGGAAGAGGTGGGGGGAGTTGCCTGAGGGTCTTGAGATTCACAGCAGCTTCTGGTCAAGCTCAGAAGAAGCTTCCATTTTGGTGTTGCCAAGTGCAAATGGTGGCCACTTTGACTTTGGTTTCTCTGGCCTTCTAACAATTGTATCAACATCTAATTTTCTTCTGTTCTCCTGATATAATACCAACTGGGGGAGCTTGTTGAAGAATCACAATCTCATGGCCTACACCAGATCCGCCTGTTGGAATCTGCATTCTAATAAGATCCCCAAGAGACTCATGTGCTGCTCTAAAGCACAGCAAATCTTCCTGCTGACAAACCTGGTGCAATGACAAGCTGACAGCCCTCTCTGGCATGCCCCCTCCCCCAGAGAGGAACCAACAGAAGGAATGGAAAAAAGTGGAAGGAGCAATTGTCCCTTTGGGTGGAAACGGAGGAAGCAGGGGTGGGCTGGAAAACATCCCTTTTCCCAGCATGCCTGGGTGCTCCCAGTGCAGTCATCATGATTTTCAAGGTCCAGGGATGAGAATCTCAGTGTATAATTTAGTTACATATGCATCTGACATAGGCATTCCTCCAAGCTCTCTTAAACAGTTGCCCACCTCTCAAATCCTATATAATAGCCAAACCAGTAAGAATGTTTCCCCTCTCCAATGCTCAAAAGCCTTGTTTATTCTTTTTAACATAAACAAGAAAAATAGGTTTAGGCAGAGGAGATATGGAGGAAAGAGAAAGGCCTTACTCCAAAAATAAAATTTACTCTTTATTTTGTGTATGCACATGCACACACTGCTGAAGGTTTGTGTGCCCTCAAAATTTGTTTGTTGAAATGTGATGGTGTAAGGAGGGGGGAACCTTTGGGAGGCAAGTAGGTCATTTGGATGGAGCCCTTGTGCATGAAATTAGTGCCTTTACAAAACAGGTCAGAGAAAGGCCCCACAACCCTTCTACTATGTGAGGACACAGTGAGAAGGTGCCATTTATGAATCAGAAAGTAGGCTCTCACCAGACACCAAACCTGCTGATGCTTTGATCATGGACTTCCCAGTCTCCAAAACTGAGAAATCAATGTATGGTCTRTAAACTGCCCAGTGTATGGTGTTTGGTATTGTGGTCTAAGTGGACTGAAATGTGCACAGTGAAAGAAGGCAGAGGGTGGGTTCCACGCCCTGCCATACTTTGCCTGGCTTCCAGGTCTTGGTAGAGTGGAGCACACGCCTCCTAGGAGCCCACACTCTGTTCTGCTTTCCAGGATACAATGTTGAAGCTGTCAGACACCAACCTGGCATTTCCCCTTGTGTTGTGCCCCTGTCTGCCCCTGTCCTGTCCTTGGTTTTTAACAGTATCCTCTGRTTACTATTTGACTTTTCAAAGGCTGAGGTCTGGTAGCGACTGTCAACACAGAGAAGTCACCCTGACCCAGTGCTCGACTCTCATCACTGGCCCAGCACCCAGATCCCTGGTTTCCTCTCAACACATGGGCTGGATGGACAAGCTGGGTCTCCTTGCCACTCTTCCTCTTTGGGACCCTTTTGACTAACAGGAGCACCCACTGGCTTCTGATACTTTTTTCATCATCTGGGCATTTGGCATGACMAAGCTCCAAGGGGGTTGAAATTATAGAGAACAGAAAGGATTCCATGTTACTCTTTTCATGTGCGGGAACAAATCGAGCTCTCCTTGAGGATAACTGCATAGATTTCTCACCATTGCCACCCCAACTTTTATTATTTTGTTTTCTGTGAAATCCTATCCTCAACTGTGTCCCAAGAGCTATGTTTACTGTTTCTCCTGAACCCAGTAGGATAAAATTGTGGACTCGGGACAAATGTGTTTTTGGGTCAGAATATTCCTTCAACCTCATGGCAGGTTTTTTGAATACGATGCAATTGAACATGAAAAGTGTGTCTTGACATTGAGGAAGTAGAGGCTCCATTGGGATCCAAGCCCAGGCATTCGCCACTGTTTGTTATTAGGTCTCTCTTTTCTCTTCRTTTTTCTTTTCACATTCTCTTTTGGTGTCACTTTTCTAACCCACATGGTGTCAGAACTGACCCAGCCTAGGGATTCTGGACCAGACACTTTCTGAAAAGAGAGGAGATGTGATGGCTGGTTGTCAAAAACAATTACGGAAAAAGGCAGCATACCCCTTGCTGGATGGTATATCCGATGTGACATTTGGGTCTATGAGATGCAGTTTTAATATACAGCAGGCAAAACTGCAGTGACAATTATATAAAGCAGGTGAAGCCACTTCTTGCTGGTCAGCAAACATCAGCTCAGAACCACTTTACAGCTCTTTACCAGCAACTAAGTGCCTTTATTTACAGAGTGCCTGTCACTTCCCTTTGGCTGGAGAGCTGGTGTATTATTTAGCACGCATTTATCTGGGGAAAACATTTCAATTTAAATCAGCTGGTACAACGGTGGCTCTTGCCAGACTATTTCCCTGTGGTTCTAAAAGATAAGAACTCAGTCTGCTCTTGGAAGGGAGGGTAGCAACAGAAGAGTCCATTCTCAGGAGCCACTGGAGTCCATACCTGAAAAGACAGGGCACGTGATGGAGTTTCTCATTCTTCATTTATATCAAAATGTGAAAAGAGCATCTTATACCTTATTTCTGCTTCCTTCTAGTAAAGGTAACTCTTAAGGGAAAGAAAGGGGAATAAATGGATGTCCCCATGAATCAATCGCTATAAAGTCTTAGGAGACAAAAATGACTTAGATTCAGCTCCTCACTTTCCTTGAGGGACGGAGGAGTGGAAGAGGCATCCCCATAAATAACGAGAGTGCAATGAGAGAAGGACCAGGCTAGAAATAGAGGAGCTCAGTGGGGTCCTCGTTTTACACATTTTGAGGCCTTGAGAAGGTTTCTAAAATGTGACAACTGTAGATGGGTTGAATGCATATGGCTGTTGAGCATTTGAGATATGGCTAATGTGACTGAGGAACTGAATTTTTTTTAAATTTAATTTTAATAAACTTAAATAGTTACGGAGGGCTAATGGCTACCATATTGAACAGCTAAGGCCTAGAATCCAGACTTGATGCTTTGCTAAGAATTTAGATTTGAGGGTTTCATCAAAGATTCATAGGAAGGAGGTGATTAAAGCCATCTTTGAAAAAGATAGCAGGTGAAAATATAAGCATGAAAATATAAGCATGACTAAGGATAGGAAGAGACAGGGGCATGAACTCCATAGGAAGACGTTATAGTGACTAAAAGAGGTGGGACAGGGGATGACCACACAGCCTCAGTGATGTCAGTAGGGAAGAACTGGAGATGAATTAGAAGTATAGAAAATATAGTTAGTGAAGCTAGTCAGATGGGAAGGAAGCATGAATGAGCTTGGATTAGGAGTTGGGAATCAGTGTGAGGTTGGCTACTGGGTGGATATGGAAGCATTAAGTAAACAGAGTACATGAGAAGGAACGGGCCTGGGGAAGACAGTAAAGAATTCAGTCCTGATCCCCTTGAGTTGAAGAGGATCAACTGAGGTTGAAGACAGGAATCTGGTCAGCACAACCCTGCAGTCTTCCTTGTAGTACTTGACAGGAAAAATCAGAAGCAGAATTGTCTATAACTTGGCGTGGAAATTTGTAAGAGGCAAAGGTTTCCTTGATGCTATTGAGAGCGTGCAGATGCTCCTCAATAATGAAGTGATATCCCAATAAACCCATCTTCAGTTGGAAATACCTTAAGTGAAAAATGCATTTAATACACCTCACCTATCCAACACCATAGC